TTGTCAACGTATCAGTTTCATATTCTACATATGTAAGCAGGTAATTCCGACATCCTAGCATGTAGTTCCGAACATACAACTGTGTTGACTGAGTTTATACTATGAATGTGTGTATTTTTGATGTTGTAAACTTTGTTTTCCGGAATTTATATTTCCGCCCACTGAATAAAACACAAAGACAATTGACAAGTCTACAAATGTAAAGTCTACACGTTTGTCGAATTTTGATAATGAGAACCTATGGAGGGTCATCAGTTCCACAATTATTTTTAATGGTCTTATTTTCTTTTTTATTCTTTTAGTTTTCCAAATTATATTCCTATTTTTTATTTCTTATTTTAATTCTTACTTCTTGAAGGCGCGGATCTAGAAGAGGGTCCGGACCCCCACCCCTCTTCCTGAAATTTGCAGACTTATTAAATGTTTATACTAAACAAACTAAAAGTGACCTTGGACCCCCCTCAAAAACGCTGATCTGTGTTAAGTTGACGACTACCCCCCCCCCCTCCCCCCAACACACACACACGCACGCGCGCGAAGTATGGTTTTTCATGCTTCGGAAAGGAGTGTCCTTTTTTTTTGGCTTGTCAAGAAATTTCTGGATGGATTTTTTTGGACTGGGATGGAACCCCCCCCCCCCCTGGATCCGTGCCTGTTCTTGTTTATATTTTCCAGTTTTATTTTATTTATTTTATTATGGCAATTTTGATTCCTTTCGTATTTTGATTCTATCTTAAAATTTCAATTATGTTTAACTTCACCTAACTTAATACTTATTTTTTTGGTTACAAATATAAGCAAAATCGAAAGTTTGTTTAATAAAGTAGAACTTACAGAATTAAAATAAGAAATCCGAATAAAATTTAAACGAAAAGGGGCCCTACGGCCTTTTATGTACAGTACACAGAGATCTTGGCGATCAGTCTAGCTACGAAACGTACGAAACGTAGAAACATTTCCATGGAACATATATATTTTTTTCATTTTAAAAACCATATGATATCATTCTTGCGTGTCCCCTCGTTTTCAGGCCCGTAGGAAGCATTTTCATTGGGTGGGGGTGGGGGTGGAGCAGTGGGCACAAAACAAAAATTTCTTGATAAGCCCCCCCCCCCCCCCCAATGAAACATTCCTGTTGAGGGGGCACGACGATGAATTAGCCTTATTTCTTTTCTTATGTATTTACCGACAAAATTCTTGAGGGGACACAATCAGAAATTGCTTTTTTATTGGTATAGTATATACTGGCACCCTCACCCCACTTGATACCTACGGACCTGGTTCGGGGCCATAAAACTTAAGATGAGCTCACTTTTGATCCCAGTCTCTCTTTTCTACATACTATTAATTCCTTTGGTAAATGTGAGACTGTGATCAAAAATAAGCCCGTCTAAGTTTTATGGCCCTAGTGCAAGATGTTTCAAATATGATAAAAATATGACCGCCATTTTTGATTGCCCGCATATGGTACACAAATATCAGGTATCTTTAAATTGATATTGTCATCACAAAATTTTTTTTTAAAGTAGGACGGAGAAATTTTTTTGTCACTAACATATCTCAGGTCCGAAGTAGGAGGGATCGATAGGTTGGGCTCCCAACTTTCTTGTGTGGAGAATAATCTTTTGCAGCTGTTTTAATATGAAAATTCATTTATAGGCTGTATGCCCCCCCCCCCATCCCCCTTATTTTGCAGTATCATTAAACTCTGGCAAATTCTTGCGTTAAAAAAAAAAGTTACTGAGAAGTTAAAGATAACCTAAACATTGCCTCCCACGAAGGAGGAGTTTGGGCAGTTTATTTTTTTTCCATCGTCAATTTTTTGGAGCCCCCCCCCCCCCCCGATAGACATTGATACGGATCTTCATCTACTGGGTGGTTGTTGTTTTTTTTAAAAGGTATCATTGCAGTTACATTGGTTCTTAATAAAGTGGAGCACTGATTACAGTAGCCTACTGGTTGGGCGCTAGCTTCGTGGGCCATTGGAGGGTAGGAGTTCGCTTGTCCTAAGTTCCTAGTGCCGGCCGGCAAAATGTAAGATGTTTAACAGTCGTGTTGGTAATGACTATTCCTTCGGCATTGAAAGTAAAATTGAATAATTTTTCGGTTGAGACCTTAAAAACCGAAGCCACTCTAGATCCGCGCAAGTCGTGAATAAGCGGGTAATGATTCATGTCACATCGTCAAATAAAATAAAATTAAGAAGATAAAATAAAATTGGTACATATAAACAAAAAGTTAGACTTAAAATTAAATAACAAATTAAAATGAAAATATTAATATAAAATTGGAAGTTAGAATTAAAAAAAAAAAGATAAATCTAAATAATTTATTTCAGTTGGAAAAAGAAGTTAGAATAAAAAAAAGGGAAAAAATGTGGCACAGATGCCCCTCCATAGTTTCTCATAATCAAAATTCGACAATCATGTAGACTTTACATTTGTAGACTTGTCAATTGTCTTTGTGTTTTATTCAGAGCGCGGAAATATAAATTCCGGATAACAAAGTTTACAACATCAAAAATACACACATTCATAGTCTAAACTCAAAGTCAACACGGTTGTATGTTCGGAACTACATGCTAGGATGTTGGAATTACCTACTTACATATGTAGACTATGAAACTGATACGATCACAAGTTTGGATTTACAAACTTACAAGTTTGGATTTACAAACTCACAAGTCTGGATTTTTGAACACGATTACCCTCCATAGCATGATACTTAATTTTGCTATTATGCATAGACTAAATCTAATTCAATTAACGTAGCGTTCACGTCGTGCAGTAAATGCGTAACTTTATTGATGTATCTTCCATTAATTTGTGTCAAACTTCTAGTAATTCGTTTATAACTCTCCGTTTGAAAAGGGCACTTGATATATGTTTCATTAAAACATCAATATATATTATATATAATTATATATTCTAAAAATTCTGTGAATGTTAAACAGTTTATAGAAAAGTACTTCAAGTGGTTATGATTCGTACTGAATGATACTTTATATGCCTAAAGAGGCATTGATTTAGGTGTATGATGGTACAAGTGCAGATAGTTCTACTGACTTCCAAAAAAACAACTTAGTTTAATTAACAAGTAAAAATAAGAAGAAATTAACCTGGGGACATCAAGATATATTGTTTTTAGGGATGGCAACGAATATTCGAACATCCGAATATTCGTTCGATGAGTTGATATTCGAATATTAATTTAAGCTTCGAATATTCGGTGTTTTTCAGATTTCATAAAAAGAAGTACAACTGTACTGTGATTAATAAATTTTGATTAGAACAGTGCTGGAATTATCCTTGTTTAATTTACTAGCGATCAATTTCGATCGCCTGATTTCTTTCACTACTTTCTTAGCTTGTAAATCTACTAAATAACATGTATTTTGTTTTGAGTAAGGTGTTAAAGAATTGTACAATGATGCTTTATGTATAATACAAAACGTACTTTCATAGTTTTTTTAGTTTAGATATGATCGGATCTAGAATTGAGGACAACAAATGAAATCTAAGAATGTCTAAAAGGCAGTATATTTATCAAAATAGAATTAATTGATCATTGAATGAATGTCCTATAGAATTAATCTCTAATTAATATTGTAAAGAGCATAATTTCAGAATAAATGTGTAAATTACTTGATTTTCTCGGGTTGTACATAATCCTGAATTTTATTTTCATTATCGGGAAAGAACTACGCACGCTAACTATCGATTCCCGCCTACATTTTACACCCATTTAATTCAATACTAATGGCAATTTGGCCGTAAAATCTTTGTTGAATGTAAAAAACAGTTTAATGGTAATTGACTGATAATTTTAATTCCAGCGTTAAATAGTTAATTACCCCTTATTCCAGCTCTTTAAATGGGGGGGGGGGGGGGGGGGTTAAGACGATATTTTACATTGAAATCGGGCTTTAAAGCATCACCACATTTTAAAATATTCTTGGATATGAATAAATGTTCCTTAAATCTTTTCTTATGTTTTACTCATATAAAATCAAACATATATCATTTATAAAATACAATGTTTTAGTTGTAAACCCCTTTGAAATTGGTGAAAAAATAAGCATTTTTGTAGTTTTTTTTTTTTGTCTGTAAACATATCCCCCCCCCCCCCCGTGAAACACAAAAAGCTTTGGTATGAATTTGTGAAATGACAGTCCATATTACCTGTAAAAAAGAATTTTTTGTTTCACGGGGGGGGGGGGGGGGGGAGAGAGATGTTTTAAAAATATTTTCCGTTTTCCGTTGATTTCTATAGTGAAAAACACAACTTTTACCCATATTATAGAGTTATCTCTCTTTGTTTTCCCCAAAAAGTAATTTTTTATGAAAATTCATATAAATATCTATATAGATATGAAAAATTATTCAAATCTGTTAATTTTGAAAATTGGCTTGGAGGTAGGCGGGAGAACAATACTATCGTTCGCAGTTCTTAGTTAATTACCTAGGAAAACTGTCTATGGAAATATTTGTTTACATTGTATCAAAGATTATAATCATATCTCTTATCAGGCAGATAATTGTAATTTATTACACGTATTGAAATCTGAACAGTATACCGTTACGACTATCTTGCCTTTTGTAAGACGGCTGGTTCCTCAGTTGGAGCTACTATAAATACACGTTACATTTGTTAAAATTATACTTTTTTACATTTAAATCAATTATTCAATGGAATTTCTTATTATACACCTACAAAAGTCTTCATACAATTTTACTTCCAATATAAGTATACCTACGCTAAACCTTTCATGAGAGTAGGATGATGCATATTTAAGATAAAACAGATTTTATTTATTTTATCGAATATTCGAATACTTTCATTGAATATTTGAATATGAATTATTGACAAAATTGACATACCTAATTGTTTTAAATTGTGCACAGTCAGCGGTAAAAAACCGAAATTTAAGTCAAAAAAGGGGAATATAATGTGTATATTCAAATATTTTTATTCTACTGATACATGAGTCATCTGTGTCATTCTATAGTTTGGTTTTACAGTCTTCACCGCCGTATCCTGCTTCACATTTACACCAACTTCCGGTCTGGTGCTCCTTGCACTGACATGCGCAATTGGACTGATCAACCGTTGCACCGTTGAAGCAGTAGGTGTTACAACGACTTGTGCAGTCATATCCTGTTTTAGAAATCAGTTGTAATAATTTGCAGAATTCAACATCGATCTTTTAAATATGATTCCATTTACCCTCTTTTATCGTTTTCCCCTGTGTTCTATGTTTTATTTCCGGTATATTCATTCTCTGTAACGGAGGCGTAAGAGATACATATTTCATATACATAACTTTTGTATAGGAACCTAAACAATTCATATTAACGCGTCTCCAAATGTCTCTCCGGCCAAATGTTTGTTAAAAGATTTCCAAGAGACAATATCCGTATTTTCTGTTATAAAAAGTTTTGTTACTATCAGGAGAATAATTTTCTTTAGACATGGTGCTTTGTCGAAAGTCTTGTTGAATCTTTTTGCTGTAAACCATATATAGTGACATTCATATAAAATACGAAGACATGGTATACTCATATGTCCTTACCATAAAACCCACTAGGACAGTCACAGGAACAGATTTTTGTGTTAAATGTTCCTCCATTTGCACATTGTCCTTGACAAGTTTTAACTTCAAAAGAAAAACATCATGAACTGTGACATATAAAACATACATTGCAATAACTGATCTTTATTATCGAATATACATGTACATTCATTAGAAGTTATGAATTACAAGCACTGTAGGACATTTTTGAATTCGTAAACTAAATTTTAATTAGCTCGACCTAAACTGAGATAAAATTTGCTTTCTTTATACAAAAGATAATACCATGTCGATCTGCTTTGTACAGCTATGGAAATGTTTATTCTACATGTCTTAACATGTTTCCACTTACCAGATTTTGGTACAGTATACGTATAGTTAATGCCAGTATTTTTCTTCTCTCCATATCTGTAGTGCTGAAAATATATTTTATTGTCATATATCCGTGATGTGTACTGTAAAACCACCTTCAAATTGAGTGCGAGAAATATCTGCAAGTTTCCCGAACTTTATTTACGAGTGAAAATTATTCGCCATGAACTATTTAGAAGAAGAATGTTTCCACAGTCACGAAAATTAATAGTCGCGTATGTATTTCACAATAAATGTGTTGTGAATAATAGTTGGTTTACGGCATTTGCATCTTCTTTGGACTGATGAAAGCTATTGAGGTTTTACCTTAATGATGACAGGTTCGGTGATGGGTCCTTTAGCATACAACTCTTGACGCCAGAAAACATAATTCCAATACGTACCGGCGAAATTTGTTGGGTTCTTTGTCGTATCCCAAATCCACTGTATCCAGCTAGACAGAATTACAAGTCCATCTTTGTTGTAGATTTCTGAGATAAAAGCAGATGAATTTATTTTTTATATAATGATTATTGTTTTGCAAGATAAATAACAAATTGCTTGACAATACATGCCCTAAGATGAAGAATCTGAGATTACAGTACAATAAGTGTCCGTTGGAAACACACAGTAGGATACCAATATATTGATTACTAATTGTGTATCTTGTAAATTGACTTTAGGTTAGAATTAAATGTACCTTCATTAAAAGAGCCTAGAACTATGTGAGAAAAACGAAATAATAAAACGTAAGCCAAGATGATAATTTCGGACTAAGTTAAATGTGACTGATTTGATTAATACAATGATAGTCTGTAAAAAAAAGTTTTGTCATTGTGCACTTATCTGTTCTGTAGATATTCTGGTGTATTTTTTGAGATTCTACCTATTTTCTTAATTTTTTCATTTTGTCATGTTACGAAGAATGTTAATACAATGTACTTACCTACATAGTTTTCTCTCATTACTGTTTGCCAATCAAACCAGAATAGTATGTTTGTCGCTCCAACGGGTATCTCCGTAATTATCTTTCTTGTACCTGAAAACAGTATGATGATTAATTTACACAGTAAAGAAGATCGCTTTCATTCAAAATGAATGTGAAGAAGTAAAAAGAAAAAGTAAAGTCAGTATTTCGTAAATTATATGGTCGTTATAATGACAATGTTAGCAAATGTTACTAATCACTGGGTCGTATTTTGGCTGACTTTTTTCATATCAAATATTACTCCTTTGTTTTTGTATTAAGTTTGACTACGAAATGTTTCGTCTTCTTGATCAATACATAGGGCTCCCGGCAGGAGTGACCGGTCAACAGGGAATGATTGCGCCTCCTAGGCACCTGATCCAACCTCTTGCCCTATTCACAGATTTGTATTTTTGTGGCTTTTATGAGATCTATCACTGTTATATCTTCACCCTTTTTCATTCCAACCTGTTGAATTCTTTTTATTCCTTTATTCTTCTTTAAGCTCGCCTCTGTTATGTAGGACTATAAATAACAGGGACAAAACAAATAATCATGTTTTAATTATATTAGTCTATCAGTTATCGTACGTGCCTTGTGCTGTTGTCTCCGTATACACTCCTTTCACTATGTCACAAGTAGAACCATCTCCTTTACAAACACCACAGACGTCATATTTAGCGTTGAGCTCTCCGTTACAACCGAAAAACTAAGACAAAGTACTGTTTATATATAATACCCTTCCCTCACATTTAACACCTGATCAATTTAACATAATAAAGTGAAATTTCGTTATAAGCAAGATATAGGCTTTATTACTGTTTGGTATAATCGTATATTACTGTATACCCTGCAATAGCCATCCAGACATCTATAGCTGTAATCTGACCACTTTTGGCCCGATTCTTCAGTGGGTCCTTCACACGGAGTACCCTGGGGGATTAAGCCAAACCTTGTATAAGCAGGCGTCTTGTACCCCTGCACCGCATCACATGACACCTCACATTTCAAATGTCCTAAAGTGGTGAGATTTTTTTAAAGAATCGTTAACATGTCAGTAATTTTTTTTTCGTGAATTCCTGGATTTAACTCAGTAAAGACGGAAAAATATTTACAGGATACATCTATGAGGCTGCAGTTTTTCAATCATTTTGCATATTTGAACAAAGAAAAATTAAAAACGCTCTCTCTTTTTCTCTCTTACCATGCCAGTCTAATTTCCTCCCAAACGACGTGTATTTTGTAGAGTCTAATACTTTATTCTTCAATAATCTACTGCAAGTTTCAGACGCCCGCTGATTAATAAGAGTTGTCATGTCTGAACTGTCGTTGGGACAGGGCTGCATTTGATAGATACATCTTGTAAAAGCGATATTTATTTTATTTTATTAATTCAAGTACAATATTAGCACGTTCTTTACTTTAATTATTAGATCCAATGAAGAGAACACTAGAAATTATCTTTGATTTTAAGCGTTGGTTTACCTACCTCGGGATTACAAGTCCTTGCTTCATAACCATTGTCATCTCCGCCGTCACATCCTGGGTGGTTCAAAGGGCTTTATCGATGTAAAAAAAAAGTGTTAAAAATTATATAATATAAATAATTAAAAACAAAATTGCATCATGCTTTCAGGAATATTCTAAGTTATAATTATCCATAAGCGTAATCAAAGCTCTTAAAATTATCTTAAAATTTCAATACCTTTATTTTTCAGGCTGCAAATATATATACCGGTATTTTGGTTGCCAAAAAGTTTAAATAAACAAATTAATCCATGAAGTTGATATATTTCTTAGTACGTAATCAATTTTAACACATTACATGTATATCTTGCCCAGACAAGCATTAATATGGAGTGGAATGACAGTTGTTATGATTTGTGGTTCAAAAATAAGACGGACTGATATCGTAACTCAATAGCTTAAGTTCTTATCAACTTTGAGATGAGACCTTGAATAAAAGTTACTATACATTAATTATTCTGCACAGGAAAAGAATATTTCAAATGGAATAGAAATTTCCAATTGAAAATCAGAGACTCTCAGTACATAATGTAGCTAGGGAAATACAATATCCATATACATATACTTCTACATAAATAAGGGAAGTTGACGATAGAAAAGTTGAAGTCATCATGTTTATCATAAAGATCAGTTGATAATTTGCTATCAACGTCTTTTCTAGTACTAGTAAAACATCCAAATATGAAACAAATGTGTCAGACTCTTTAGTGTCTTTTATTTCCAGTTCAGTAGGCTGTATCGAATTAACGATTATCGATATATCCACAAAAACCTATTTATGTCCTCAAACTACGAATATTTGACCCCACGAAAATATCATCTGATTTTACAATTACAGTAATTAGAAGACTAGATATTTAAACTAAATATTTAAGACCTTGGATTGTTGCAGAATCTCCTCCTGTAGGTTAGTCCTGTACCACAGGTCCTGGAGCAGGGCTGCCAATGTGCCCACGGTCCCCATCCCCCGGGTCTGACCACGCCTGGTTTCATATTGACCTCTTCAAACGTTTGACATTTTCGATTCATGCAAAGCTGGAAAAAATCGATTAGGTACATGGACTTTCAGTGAGTATAAAGAATTTTATAAAAGTATTATTTCTGGGTAGTCCTATAGGACTTACCTTTCCTTCACCGCAATATATCCCAGGAGGACCGCTCAGGTATTGAGTAAACATTTGTCCAAAGAAATCGCCTTCGTTATAGTTTACACAGCTGTATATGATCTCGCATGGCTACCAACAATTAAGACATAGATATTACAATTTATTATAATTTCATTATTCTATATTCCATAAAAAAAGTGGTCTTACCGGGAGATATGAGAAATTTCGGAAGTGAAAGTTAGGACCAAAATGTACCTCGCATATTTCGTCTACACTGTACTTCTGACCTATAATATTTACCAAAAACAAGCTCACATTAATTTGTCAGTGTATCAAATTATATCAGTATTAATGTTTAAGATACAAATTTTTTACAATCTGTACATATGAATATTTTCATCATTGTGCACAAGCAAAAAATTATTGTAAAACTCGGAAAAGAAAATATCTCTTTTTAAGAGAGTATGACTATAATTACTTGTATTTTGTAGTTCCCATTCTATCTGCCCGCCACCAATTCGATTTATCACAATTACTTATTAATAAACAGACATATTAGTAAAAAAGTAACAGATAAAGTCATATGTTATTTGTTTTCCTTCCAAGTCGGCCCTATAAACCAAGGTCCAGTGTCGCAATAGGTGCTGGCACGAAAAATATCCCTCACTGTCAATGGTCCTGAGTGCCGAGTATAGATCTAAATTTGCAGACCACACCGACAAGTGGAGGCGTCTACATATGAGTGGAAAAAGTCACAAGCGTCCCGCTTGTTAAACAACAAATTTCCCAATGGAAGAACATTATTTCTATGACGAGCCAAAGTAGCCAATAACAAATAGAAAATAAAGTTTGAAGTAACATGCTTTGTGTGATTTACATATGTATATAAAGCTTAGCTGTGATTTACCTATGAGAACTGGCTCAGTTGGACCGTAGCTGGTGTTACTTGAAACATCTTCTCGAAACAGACACTGCGCATACCTACTCCTGAAATTAGCATATAAATATAGATATATTGTCTAACGTTACTATAATTTCAGACTTGTCTGTAGAACTTTATTTAAACGGAAAGAAAATACTTCAGAACCAAATATTACATATCGGCTTGGCCAAGATCAGGTGCCCATTTCCAACTAAATGATGTTATATAGATGTAACTCTTTATAAATACATCTAATCTAAATGTCTTTTGTTGCATTGCAAAGATCAGAATGAGAGCTTTCCATTGGTATATAATATCATATATATATAGTATCTGCATCTTTGATAAAACTACAGAATAAAGTCAGAAATTCATAATTTTTGAAGCGTTATGCTGTTGCACTTGATTTTTTACATTTTAAATAATGGTTAATTAAAATTATTTTGAATGAAACATTCCAAAATAAATGTACTTTATTATAGAGAAATCAATCTGGTAAAGATTATTTTTTACAGAAAAGAAAAAGGATAAAAATTGTGGAAATTATGAATAAATGTGTGCAGATATACCTTTGTTATATAATTTAAGATTTATCAATGTTTGAATAAATGCATAATTTCTATCAAAAAAGAGCAAATATAATTTGTTAAAAAAAATTTATTTAACTTAAGAAAAAAAGTACTATGAGAAAAATATAGTGGTTATATTGTAAAATGTGTGCACATTTTGTATTTTATTTTCCATACTGGTCTAATATTTTGTATAGTCCGTAGCCCCATATTTCATTATAGTTTGTGTTCAACAAAAGAATGTAGAATTAATCATTCTCTTGTTTAATATTTTCATAGTTACCAGTAAATTAAAAAACAGTAATGAATAGCTTTTGCGCTAACACCAAAAGAAGTTATAGAAGAATGATTGGTGTCCGTAGCCCTGTATAGTCCGTAGCCCCAATATAATAACTTCCAGAAAAAGTCATATACATTATTGATACAATAACTACAATACAAAAATATGTTTATTCGAATAAATGCAATGTTTTTAAATGCAAATACCTCTGTAATTAAAAGTAAAATATCTGAAAATTAACATTTTTCAACTAAAGGCTTGCTTCTGTAGTCTGCCTCGTTATGTTTGTGGTTACAACATATTTTTAAATATACATGATAAAGTTTTCCTTCTTGTGATACATACTATCAATCCATTTACAATGATTAGCATTTGAATTTTTTAAAAAGAATATTTAGCCATACAAATCCTACTTACAAAAGGGCTACGGACTCTACAAATAAATTTAGCAAATTTACAGAATTGTGAATTGTTAATTGTAAAAAAGTAGGGATGGCAACGAATATTCGAACATTCGAATATTCATTCGATGAATTGATATTCGAATATGAATTTAAGATTCGAATATTCGGTGTTTTTCAGATTTCGTAAAAAGAAGTACTGTGATTAATAAATTTTGGAATTATCCCTCAGGCTGTTTAATTCACTAGCGATCAATTTCGATCGCCTGATTTCTTTCACTACTTTCTTATCTTATAGATCTACTAAATTACATGTATTTTGTTTTGAGTAAGGTGTCAATGAATTGTACAATAATGCTTTATGTATAATACAAAACGTACTTTCATAGTTTTCATAAGTTAAATACGATCGGATCTAGAATAGAGGACAACAATATGAAAACCTTCTTCGATTGTCTAAAAAGTGAAGAGTATACATACTTATCTAAACAAATTTAATTGATCATTAAATGAATGTCCAATATAGAATTAGTCTGTAATTAATATTGTAAAGGGCTCAATTTCAGAATAAATGTGTAAATTAATTATCTCGGGTTGTACAAAATCTTGAGTTTTATATTCATTATCGGGAAATTAGTTAATTACCAAGGAAAATTGTCTGAAATATTTGATTATATTTTAAAAACATTGTATCAAAGATTATAATCATATCTCTAATTAGGCAGATAATTGTAATTTATTACACGTATTGAAATCTGAACAGTATATCGTTACGACTATCTTGCCTTTGGTAAGACGACTATATATAAGTTTCATTTGTTAAAATTATACTTTTCTACATTTACACCAATTATTTATTTCAAACATTGACAAATATCAAATGGAATTTTATTGTACACCTACAAAAGCCTGCATACAATTTTACTTCCAATATAAGTATACCTACGCTTAACCTTTCATGAAAGTAGGATGATGCATATTTAAAATAAAACAGATTTTATTTATTTTATCGAATATTCGAATATATTCGAATACTTTCATTGAATATTCGAATATGAATTATTGACAAAATTGACATCCCTATAAAAAAAGGCATTGATTCTTTATGGGTAAATATTGTACTATTATGTTTTTTACTTCAAATGGTCAATCATGTTTTGCAATTTTTTTTTTTTTTTGAAATACACCAGATGATTATGATAAATTATATACTGATACACCTTTTGAATGACCATCTTGAGTTATATGCATTACATTAAATCGAAAAAAAATGAAGCAATATAGTCCATATCCCCTCCACACACACACACACACACACACAAATCATGCCTTGATTTAATTTCAGCTCCTGTTGCATTTATTCATTATAGTTTGAACACAATTATGCTTTAATTAGTTGAACTGGAATTCCATTTGGCATTGAAAGTACATAGTACATTAGACAATTGATTTTTAAGTATGGTATTATAAATACTCAAACTAAGTGATGTGAACTGTTATAGAAAACCAATTAATAAAAAAAATTGCCCAAAATTTAATTAAACAATTATATTTTCTTTAAGATGATTGTCCACAATAGAGATGTTTAACGGTATAGTCTGTAGCCCCCGTGCTCACATGACATTCATCCTTCTTAGATGCTAAATTAAAGCTCATTCTTGGTCTTTAGATGGTTTTAAACAATATTTTATTATCAAAACACCAATTACATGTAATTCTGACATGTATTATTTTGTTCTGAATATTTACATTTTACTCTTATTGTGAATTTATAGAAAGTTTTTGTATTATTTTGTTAAATTTCACAGGATTTTGTATAAATTGATTTAGTATCCAAATGAAAGGATTTATTAAACACGTGTGAACTCCAAGATGATAATTTTAACAAATATTTACTGAAAAAAGCAACTATTTTTCTATGGTCTCTCATTAAATGAAAATACTATATGTATAGTCCGTAGCCCAAGGTCTCAAAATAGTCAATCAAAAAATATCTGACACAGTTTTTCTCTGAGTATTACCAAGTAAGTTTGAAATTTTCATCCCCATATACAGTATCTTTAGAAAAATTGAAAGTACTTTAATGTATTTTTATTTCAAATGTCCAAATATTAAGAGTAGAAAAACTCTCAAATATTAACAAATTTACCCATGTCCTTTATATACGGTAACATTTAAATGGAAATGAATTATGTGATTTTTTTTTGCTCAGACAATATTTTGTGAAGTTTTTATTTGAGTTTTTATTTGAATTATACTTATTTTGTTAAGTTGAATATGATAAAGATAAATGTTATGCCTGAATATGTATAGTCCGTAGCCCACTTGGGTCTCTGCTATAGTAAGAGTGAAATCTTTTTAACCGCTTGACAGAAATGGACAGAAATTTCAGACAATTTGCCAAAAGGATGTAGTGTTACATAGAACATACTTATAATACATTTCATTTGACTTCATTTTTTTGTTAATCTGCAACCAACATGGGCACCTGATCTTGGCCAAGCCGATATGTGAAAAAAAAAAATGCGATCCATTTCCCAAAGTAAAAAGGTTTCACAGTAAATTCAGTTGAAGTAATTTCTGGTTGTATTAAGGTCATTATAACTATGGTTATAATACAGTTAGGATTATATCTAAAAGAAAATCATTATGACCAAGCAAGAATATCGAACCATAGAAGAACATTTTGTTTATTGTTGAAAGAAGATAGGGACGAAATGCCTATTGTCTGACAAATAAAAAGTGAAAAATTTCATCTCAATAAAAGCAAAATTTTCTTTTGATATTTCATTTAACACTGACATGAACATAAACTATGTGTAAAATCTTCACATAACGAAACAATCTCACGAAGATTGAATTATATATTCGTCTATGATATAGCATACATTTACCAAAGAGGGCAAAAATGAGTATGCTCTTGTGTATTGAATCAACTGGGAGGCATAAACTCCATGTACAGGTGATAATGATATATTATTACTAAAATAAAGGAAGTTGACGGTAGAAAACCATTAGGTTACCATTAACGTCTATAGACGTTTTTGCTAGAAGAATTTTCCACAGAAAAGTTTTGTTTGTCATAATTTCACACTTTTCAATGATGAGAACTTTACTGTGAAAACCAAACTCAAATAATTCTATTCTCATTTTAAAGACGTACTGTAGAAATTTATCAAAATCTCTGATACTGCAAGAACTAAAGCCTGTTCCTTGTCCTCCCATCACGCCTCTGTCACTTCCGGTACAACCCACTTCTTCGTCGTGCCACATTCCTAAACTAAAACAAAATCAAGAAAAGATTTTATTAACGACAATAGGTAATCATCAGATACGGGTGCTCGTGTAATTAAAAAAAAAAGAAATTTTCTACTGGATAGGCTCGATCCCAAAACCGGTTAGAGACCACTCTTTTTGTTTGCTTCTCGTGTTAAAAAGATGGTATCTGTCACTTTATGATTATCTTTTCAATATTGTATTGTATTGGATGTATGGATAACTGGTAAAGTAAAAATTAAAGAAACCTACATGGATATTAAGAGATGATATGAAATTCATCACTATACATAGTAAATTATACATTTAGTAACTGTTTACACTAATTTTAAATTGAAATAATAAATATGAAACTTCGTTGAATTTTGAAAGTCTGATAAAGGACATTTGCTTTGTATGTAACAATTTCGATTTTGTGAAAGAAAACCATAATTGTAAATAATTATGAAATTCAAATATGTGTTTTTAAAACTAAAACTTTATCTGAATAATAATGTACATGAATGCTCTGAACGTAGAATACAAAATGTATAATAGCCATAATTTATTTGTTACATAATGTATGGTTGTGTATTTATTCGTTAGAATACATATTCTCAGTGCACCATATAAATACACGTACATTTAATTAATTGTATCAAAAACATTGAAGATTCTGCAGAAGTTGAAATTAATTCCGATATATCAAATGTTAAAATAATAGTTGAAAGTGTCAATAACACATACACAATTAATCCCTCACAAAAATTTACTCTCTCTCTCTCTCTCGCCAGATATGAAATTTACTAACCAGGTATCATCCCGTACCCTGTCACTACAAAACTACGTAACTAATAATATTTATATATATGAAAATTGTACAAACTTAAAAAATCCTATTTGGGGGTAGAACTTTTGTTTACAACCAAATTTCTCTTTAATACTTTATCCAATAACCATGATTTAACGATGCTACACAAAAAGTGCAAAACGTGGGGGAGGGGGACAACCAGCCTTCCACTGTACATTTTCAACAGTAAAAAAAGTTATGTTTGAAAAAAGTGAGGGACAAAGCCCCATGGCACTACATCGTTATACATTCTTACATGTGTCCTAGTTCGTGGACGGTAGATGAATGCGATACTACTTCCTGTCTGTCAACAGCACATCGCCTATAGGGATTGCAAGTGCCGGACTGCCAGGCACCGCCCCCAGCTTGTGTTGGTCTGCGCCTGAAAGATTTTTAAGGAAAAAAGGCCTAAGTGAGATAACTCAATTATTGTAAGAGTAAAGCAGTTAATATTAAAACTAGTGTTGTCCAATCGGACGATTTTAGTAACCGGTTACTCGCTTATTTTTCCGATCGAGTAACCGGTTACTCGGATGTTTTCTTTAGACCTCTTAACGTCCTTGTTCGCGATGTGTAAACTCATTAGTAACTGCAATTTACGCTATATGTAACGTCATCATAATTATTTCAATTTCTATATTTATCTGTAAAATTTCATTTGTAAAAACAGAAATGCATTGCATGTGGATTTTATTTATAATTACAAACACACAAAATTTTCATAATAAATTTGTTCTCAAACACCCGTAATAGTTGGCTGTTTTGCGGGATGTCCTTTATATATCGCTGGTTTCAGAGTTAAATTTCAGTCTGCGGTGGGTTAGCATATTTGTTGTCCCACCTACATATGTCAATTCCATATTACATAAAGAACACCTTACGGATTCAAAATTAGCCATTTTAAAAAAAAAAAAAAAAACATATTTCCATGCTTTTGATACATGTGGCGGTATCGTCTTTAATGTTATACTGCGAACTAGCTCACGCAGGTTTATTTGAGACAATTAAAATTAACTCAAGTCTTCAAAAACGTGTACATGTATACATCAAAGTAAACTGTGAAAAACTAATCAAAACAAATGGATCATATTGGTAAAACGCTATGTCTCAGTTTAAATAGATTTAACGGTAAAAAAAAAAAATGTGGGGCATTTATGAACAAAATTACGTTTTTTTTTTTTTTTTTTACTGATTTACTATATAAAATTTCCAATTATCCGTGTAGCAGTTCTGCTAACTCATACTCGCATCGTTGGATGATTAACCGGTTAACCGAGTACTCGTTGACAACACTAATTAAAACCTATAAAATTTAAAACAAATCGCCACGAAAAATCTATAGATACTCACCCACTATGAAGATATAGGATGTCGTATTTAATTGGATTGTCATAGACTCCTTCACAAAATGTATGCAGTGCAACGTGAACATAGAACGAGTTGTTGTAAGAAGGCTGTAAATATTTTAAGTATATAAATTACTTCCAAAATTAAATTTCATCAAAATTCATATAAATAATATACAAGTAACTGCGTCAGGACAGTTTACTCTTTTGAAAGTAAAAAGCCATTAAATTATACAATTCCAACTCAAATTACACATTCATTATAACTTGAGTAATAACTAGATTCATTCCTTGTAATTTAATATAAGATCATTAAGTAAAAAAGACAATATTCATTAGAAAATGATATTCAATTATAAAAGACTTTTTAACTGTGGTGTCAAGCGGATTGCTTGACACAGTCTTGAGGTAGGCAACCCGGGTTGTACGATATGAATTACTTTTTGCAACCAATCAAACAGGGCCTTTCCAGAATTAAATTATATCCAAAGTTCTAACCAATGAAAAAAAATTAAATGATTACCGGGTCTGTCTCCCAAAAACTCAGATATTTAATTTGTAGTTTTACGTTGTAACCGAGTTCAGGCCGAGAAAATTCAAACTGCACCTGAATTAAACAAAACACAGTAACAGCTTCATGTGTTTACAGAATGATGAAAAAGAAATGTTATATGTCTCATTTACTACAGCAATGATGCATTTATACCCCATTGTATTTCAAGATCATAAGTTCAATTCTCCTAGCGGTTTCTTTCTGGTGTAGTAGTTCCGTAAAGTCTTTGTCTGTGTACACAGCCAATTCAACAACTACATCCTTCGTGGCTGTTTGTCTTTTAGGTTTGTTCTTTAGCTTTATTATTTGGTCATCCAGTGCAGAAAGACTGAAGTCTATGAGAAAAATAGGTTATGATAATTTTTGCAGATTTTTTTTTTTGGCCTTTAAATGTTATTTAAAAATTAAAATTGATGTTTGCAAATTGGCAATTGATGATCCGTTTATATAGATGCGTTATTGTATAGAACAGTAAGAACTAGAAGACAAATCTCACCTTTATCCTTTAAACTTGCCTCGCCCGTTTTGTTCTGTGGTCTCATTTTACCAATCATAAGAACGGTATCTTCGTCTGAGAAATTGAGTCCTTTATTGTGAACTTTGGGTAGTTCTCTCAACTGGAAATCTCCAGATCGTGTGGTTAGTGATCCTTTCTAAACATCAAAAATGTTTTGTTTTTTTTACTTATAAACTAAAATTGAATTCCTGATATTTGTATTAGTCCTTACATGTCGGCATTGTAAATCACGTACAAAAGTATTTGCACCGATTACATTAAATGGTAGAACTTTTGTGGATAACAACAGGGGAAACTGAGAGATGAACAGAGAAGAATATGGCATAATATGAAAAGACATGATACTTATACACTATTGCATTTCAAAATTTCATAAAATAATCAGTTGTACAGTCTTTAGGTAATTATAGCTCTATATGAGTTCTATTTTAAATTTATTGTAGGGTCTTAAAACGTTGATTTAATGAAAACTAAATACTGATTTAAAAGTTTTTTTTTCAAAAAAAAAGAATATTCTTTTTGTTTCTAATCATGCTTATTAAATTTGAATAAATTAAATTAAAGTATATTCTACTAATTACAAAGAGTATTTTTATTTTGTATAAATGGAAAATACGTAAACGAAAGATTAGGCTTTATTATCTTAAAGTGAAATGTGGAGATAACGAACAGTATTCAAGCTCTGAAGTCCATTCAAACAATACAAATCGGGAGCAGAGCCAAAAAGGACCTCTAAAACATCAGAGGTGGGATCAGGTGCCATGGAGGAGTAAGCATGCCCTGTCGACCGGTCACACCCACCATGATCGGGCAAACGGAAATTCAGTGCGTAAATAATGGGTTTACAATTGGAAGGAAAAATATCAGTCAGTATTCGACTTATTGATAAATTGTATTTGCCTAGTCAAATAAAAGTCATTGTATCGACCATAGAGCTTGCAAAATGATGACCTTAAAGCTCTTAAAGAAAAAAAAAATTATGCGTAAATATGTATCTTATAATTTACCAAGCCTTCACAATGTGACAAGGAAACGGTGCCGTTGTGTGAAGTCACATGACCGACCAAGAAGCAATCCGGAATAATTCCCTTCCACTCTTGCTCGCCGTCATCATTCCTGGTTACAATTCTAGCTTCCGGGTGCAACACGGATTCAGGTTTCGATACTTGTAACTGATAATCCTCCCCAAAAGCTGACAAGCTTAGTTCTGTTGGTGACAACCCTCTGGTACTCCTGACATTAGATCTATTAATCAATTAATATACAATTATTTCAAATTTCCTGCAGATCAAAGTGATTATACTTTTCCATACAGAAAACGTCATAGAAACACAATCGTATATTGTGAAGTCATTTATTCCCTATCATTACAATATAGAATTCAAATGAATGTAGATTTAAACAAATCGATTTTGTGAAGTGGAGGAGCAACAGAAGTAACTAATAAAAGTAAATACGGCTCATTCAGAAAATACGTCTACCTAAACTTTTGTAATGACTCTTATTATTTAACGTCGTATTAAAACCTTTGGTAGACATATTTTAACAATAGATCCAAATTGTTTGATTAAAACAATAAGATATATCTTGGTATAAATTAAAATTATATTAATTTAAGACTGCAAAAAAAGGCGCCACGTATCACTTTTAAAATTGAGCAATTTTCTATCAACACGCTATCACCCGCCGTGAGCCCTATGAATTGATCAAGGATACATTGCATAGTCAAATCTAGCATTAAAACAAAGTCTTAACAGTTAGTATGAAACATCAGTATGCCAAAATACGGCCAAATGACAGATTATTTTGAGAACAGGGTCGACCATAGAATATACAAAATTCTGACTTTAAATTGGGTTGTTGAAATCCCTGTAACATCAACTTATTATTGAGAAGCATGTCTCGCTTTAAAATTGATCCTACTCAGAGCAAGCTCTTGTGTAGCGAATAAGTTAGGAGACATAAACACCATAAGTAGGTGATAGTGAAATATTACTACATAAGGAAAAGTTATTAATGAAAAAGCTAAGGTCATCTCGCTTGTCATGCAATTTAGCTGTAATAAATAGTGCTTCAACGAAATGAGATTTAAACGTTCAATGTATGTATTGTTATATAATATCAGATGCCAAATTGTAATGCAATACATTACTTTATTTAAAGGAAATCAATTTCAGAAGCCATTTAGTCCTTTTTGAAAAAAAAAGCAAAAGAAGATGACCTCGAAGGACGACTTAACGGAGCAACAAGTAGCAATTTAATTTTCGTTTTGCATATTGGAAACCTCTAAAACAAATTCATTCTGGAATTGCAGATGGAACCAGAATATACATGTTTACAAATATATATCAAAAGTTAGCTGTGTATTTGTATATAAATAACAAAGAAGTGTTTTAATTTACGAGGTAGAGACTTCGACTTAGACAATGGACGGTCTGCGCGGAAACAGATATTATATAGTAATAGTTCAAAAACTGGTCAAAAGAGTTAGTAAGGACAAAAGTGAAATGGGTTTCATAGGTATGGATCATGTGCAAGCACAGATACGCGGTAAAGAATTTGAAGAAAAAAAACCTCTGACTTACTAACATGCTACAGGGGTCCAACGGCAACGTGTTGACTCAGGACCCTTGACGTTGTGAGGATGGTTACTCCTCGACTCAGTAATAAATAAATTTAATATATGTTTGCTAACCTTTTCTTGTCCTTGTTAACTTCCTTTAGACTTGAAATGTCAATGACTTCCATTCCCTCTAGAATGACCAATAACACGCAATCAGGCAGCAAGAAAGAATTAAGTAAAATAGATAAATTAATGCATGCGTGAAGCAGGTATCAGTTAATTCTGGCTGTAAACTTTAAGGACAGAATTGCGACCATGCTTACCAATGTCTCTTTCGAATACTGACTTTAGGGCTGATTCAGGTATCTCTTTATTTCCATATATCTGAAAATGTATCTTTCTATGTTGTATTTGTAAGCATATCATTTACGTTATCTTCCTAATCAAAGATAGGAAACACCTACTTCAGAAGGTTTTTATTGTGCATTTTCTTTCAGGGGAAATTGATTAGTAATAAACTTTACAATAAGAGAAGAAGAAAAATAAAAAAGAAAGTGATTGCTATCTAAAGACTTAATATTCATTCAGTTTATTCGTAAGTCATATGAACTACAAAATTTAAAAATAATGCATGGAACGATATAATCATATATTTTTGGTTGCAAATGATGTATAAAATCTCTAAAATATTAGTAAGTTACAGATTTTTATGTTCATATTTCTTCTCTTTGCCATCTAATTCTATATCATCTAAAATTACATGAAATTTTTATTTTGACATTTATATATTTCATTTATTTTTCACTCGCACTTAGATGTCGGGTCACTCCCGATTTACTACGTAAATATTATTGGGTACAATGATAAAGAAATTGCTAATGGAAAGAAGTTTCGAAAATTTAATTCGTATATAAAAAAAAGCCCCAAATCTGTTGTTATTTAAGTCATTCATTTTTTCAAGGAACTTTTCGTTTTCTTTTCTTCTTATTATTATGCCTTTAGTTCCTGTTTGTAATTTGTTTTAAAATTGATAAGATTTAGAGAGAGAGAGATTGAAGCCAGAAAGGCCTTACCTCAGCACCATAACAGTATGTTGCAAAGACGAGGATTGCGCATGCTCCCAAGGAAAATGGCATTTTTCTGTAGATGTAGCACTACCAACTTCCGTCGGATAGTACTAATGCTGCTTTATGCCAAACGATTGGCATATATATATTGTTCTATGCGCCTTCAACCCCTCCCAGTTATGAATATTTAAATTACACTTAATACAAATTTTTGCGTATGCTTAAGTCGATATTTCGGTCTATGGGCTAAATTGCTCTTGTGGCAATGTGAAAAAATATGTGATTGTAGGGTGATTTTGCTATATTTTTTTTTAAATATTTCTGCAAAATAATACAAAATAATGTTTTAAAATATTGGTTTCTTCGCAAAAACTTTTTTATACAGTATTCAAAGGCAAGGAATCGCTACTCCTAAAATAAAGCATACATATATCAAAAGTGGCAACATTTGAATATATGTCTTTGATTACTTATTTCTCTAAGTCAGTCTCATTGACATACTACTGTATCTTTATTCCGGAACATGTCACGGTTTTCTAGACTTAATGCATTATGAACATATCCTTTCTACAGATCATTTTTTTCTATCTTAGCTTATATGGTTGTAATTCCATTATATATACTTACTAGTATATCAAGTAAATCATTAAGGTTCTTAACACTGGAATTCTCTTTATTGGAAAATAACTTGTGTAATTTAAAACATTATAACAGTGTACTTCGGGTTATATTATAAATACAAATTTCTCTAATTTTTTTTTTAATAATTAGAGTTATGACTTTAGAATGTATCGAGTATAGTATGTTACAAGTAATTTTATAAATTACCAGGTTTAACTTTTTTCAATACAATGAAATGTGAAAATAACAAACAGTAATTATGCTAAAAAGTACAATTAAACTAAACAAATTGTGAGCAGAGCAAACACGGACCACTGAAAACATCAAAGCTGGGATCAAGTGCCATGGAGGAGTAAGCATTCCCAGTCGACTGGTCACACCCACTGTGTGCCCCTTGTCATATTGACAGAGAAATCCATAGAGAAAAGATTACATTTGCAAACATGATCATTGTATCGATCATAGAATTTCCAAAATGTTAACTTTAAACGAGATATCTTGTATCATCCGTGTA